TAGAAGCTGATTTAGGCTTTAGATAACAACTCTTTCATTCAATCACTTAGAAGCTTAATCACTGTAAATAAATGCTAGACAATGAAGATAAGTAGAACTTACGATGGCATGAGACTTTGTAGATAGAGATGGTTTTGCACATACATAACAAAAAGTGAATAAATATTTGGAATACAATTTTGCCTTTGTTTTCAAACAAGAGACTTTGTGATGTAAAAAACGTATTAAACTAAAGCATAAGTCAATTGCAGCACTGAGACAACTGTTTTCTAACGGTGTTGATGAAAAATCTCAGTAATATTGTCTAATACTGGGGATTAGGTTGGCAGGAAAATACCTAACACAAATGTATTCTACTACTGGCAATCATCACATTTTAAAAATGTGTAGGTATATATATATAACAGTTGCTTTGCCAATCTTCAAACAATCTGCTATCTTTATCAGCAACTGGATTTTCCCTAACAGTGCTTATCTGATTCCATCACATACAATCAGCAAGAGAAACACTAGAATAAGACATTGCTTGTTGCTCCACTCTACTATTCAAGGGAGGGATGATTTTCTTAAATCATCTGAGCTCAACGGTAACTATATAAAAGAACTGTGGGTAAACTGTATCAGGTTTATTACTCATGCACATCAAGCTGCAGAATCTTCCACTAGCTTTGCAGAAAAATACAAGCTCCAACCAGAACCAGATGAAAGTAATTTTTGCAGTGAGTAAACTGTTTTAAAGTTTCAAGTACAACTAGAAACATAAAGCTACTGCAGTGCTGCTGGTGACCTGAAGATAACATTGAGATATAAAAGGAACCTCAGCAGGCTTCCAAGATGGGCATCTTTCTCAACCAGCTGTGCTCTGTAGAGATACAGGCCTTCAAAAAACCCAGCATATCACCGGTTTTAAGATAAAATACTACCAATACCCATGTACAATTAGAAAGTTAGAACTGGGATAACATACAAAACAATTTATGCAAAGGAGATGGTTGGGTGGAGAAGAAAGCTCCAACTATTTGGAGACACCAAATGAACTCAGACGCCTCAGCTCCAAGGAATATTGCAGAGGATGGTAGATCAGAGAAACAGCATCAGAGAAATTACTTGCTGAAGCACCAGGCAAAGGACAAACAGGCGAAGGCATTAAAGTACAAGGTGTTGCTGTCCTTATTAGGCAGTGAGAGAGTGGGAAATCAATACAATAATGGATGTGGCATCTGCTGATCTAGCAGAAACAAGGAAATATTTAAAAACATCAAAACTTAACTAACAGTAAATAGAGAAACAGGAGTTTAAGCCGCTGTCCTGATTTCATAATTTATAACTGCAGAAAATTAGTAGTAGAGTGAGAATGGATTTTGAGAAAAATGTTAATTCTTTTGAAAGATAGTCTTGGCGAGGAAGATGAGATACAGAACGGTGAAAAACTGTTTACAAGAGCAGTCACCAAGCACCTGAAAGATCAGTAGGAATAATTATCAATAATCTTTATAGCCTTGGTGCCTCATCCTGGGCATAAGGCGGGAAGTACTTTAACACGTCCTTTAATGTCAAACAACTGAAGAAATGCAAAGTGGGGTGACTGGCTGGAATGACAGTCCTGGACTGTGTCCGAGAGGAGCAGAAGCACTCTCCAAACGGGCAAAGCAGCCTGGTCACTGTAGTTCAGCAAGAGATCCTGGGAAAAGCCTGTGAACTGGTTCAAGGTAGCAAATGATGCTGACAAGCAAATCAAAGTAATGAGGGAAATGGACTGCCTTGAAGGAAAGTGAATTTTAGGCTTTTCTTTCTTTTCTCAGTAATTAACCTGAAATGCTTTACCTCACTTAGTTTATGCTAATTTTATACACAATTATGGGAAGCAAACCATTACTTTTTTTTTTTTTTAAATTTCACTTCCCCACCTCCCCCCAGTCTTTCATTTTACTGTCATTCAGATAATTTCACAGAGATGTCTCCAAAATGAAGGCAATCCCTAAAGAAAAGCATTCAGGAGCAGAGAGAGTTGCTGGAACTTACTATTTGCATTAGATTTGGTACCAAGCCTGAAGAGCTACGTTGTTCTGTATCACCAAACTGCATAGATTTCAACTGTGATGAGTATGGAGACACTAAAGAGGCAGGTTACCTAAGTTAATGGAAGATCCTGTGCCATTAATTAGGTCAGGTAACTGACATGGCTTCTGCAGCACCATCTTTAAAGGAATGGCAAGAGTGCCCTTGAACAGCACATGGGGGAATTCAGACCCAGATTATGAGTGAGCTGGAAAAGCACAATTTTGGTCATCTAATCTCATTAACTTTTCCCCCACATCACAAAAACACTTTCTTCCATTACTAACGATGGTGTTTGGTGTAAAGGAGTGTTGCGTGGGGAACCTGGAGTTCATAAGTGAGTCGAGTCTAGATCACAACAGATTTTCAACAGTGGCAGCACCAATAAGGTGAGTATTCTTCTTGAACCCGAAAATGCACAGTCTGTTTGCAGAGCCACATAATACTTCATATTCCTGCCCTCTGGGGCTAAATTATGGATGTAGCTATCCAGAACACTTTAAAACAAAGAGCATACTTGTTAATGGATGCATTTTTTAATACACAGAAGTTTCAGCATTTTCCTTTTTGAGAGAAAACAGAGTAAAACAACCCCAGCTCATGATGGAGAAGAATTTATCTCTAAGGTTCATCCAAAAGTGCTGTGAACTGCCCATAAGCAGCAAGTAGCATTTATGCACATGATGCAAACATCACCTCTCAGCAACCATTATCACAGCAGGTGCTCTGAGATATGTGTCAGCACACAAGTTTTTAAACAGAGGAACAGTTGATAGCAATGGCATTTGGGCATGGATTCCCCAAAATAACTGCAAGTCAAAACAGATCTGTTCAAGTCATCCATATACTACATACTACAACAATAATTTTTAAAGGCATTCAGTAGGCTTTTACCCAATTTTATAGGTTTTCTAGTGAAAATTATAAAAGATAAACCAAATAAGGCATGTGGGGAAAATTCAAAAGGCATGGAAAGCTAACACTGTGAAATATCATATTGGTAGGCCAGCTCCTTTAGGAAAATCCAGAAATCTATTTCTTACTTTAAGCCCGTTTAAGGATACCATGTAATTGCTATTGGGATCATTCCTTGTAATATGTATTTGCTGAGGGAAAAGAGCATACAAATAAGTTTGCTTTCACATGCTTTTTCTTATAAATGTGTTTTGACTGAACTCCATGAAAGTAGCATGATGATAAAATTGCAGTCAGTGTGTTTAAAAGGTTACAATACAATACTCTGTGTTTTAAAGAAAAAACAGCAAAGAGAACAATGAATGGATGAACTTAAATGAAAGGCATGTCTTTCTTACAGAATCATTACCTAGACTTGAAGCATGTCAGCCCATCTCTACTTGTGGACTGAATTCAAAACAATCAGCCTATAGTAGAAGCCAACGACCAGTTTAAGTACTGAAAAAACAAGTGGTTTTAATATCACCTGTTTTTTTTTTTTTTTTTTTTTAAACAGGAAATGTTATCATCCTCTTTTGGAAAAATATCCTAAGTATAATGACTTTCAGGAAAGGGTAAATTGGTCATATTTCTGTGAAGTTACTGGGCTCATATCATGGCCATATGACAAATGAAATAAAAGACAAATATTTCTTCACAACTTTCTTTTGACCAGATTAAAAAAAGTATGCCTGATACTTCAAGGACTTGCAGAGACTGTGCAAGTGGTCAGATTCAATTTTCAGGTTCAGGTAGGTTCAAGTATAGCAAGACTTGGAACAGGGTGGAAAATTTTAGAATATAAGAATTAACTCTGCAGCACCTTGCCATCTGTATTTAAGTAAAAATCCACTGTCACCCACAGGAGGAATAACACACCACAGGATATTTCTGTGGAGTCTCTGCACACCCCTGGTTTCTTGGGATCACTGTTGGGGTTAAATATGATACAACTGCCTCTCTTTTATGTGGAGAAACATTTTCATCTGCTTCTCCACTGTAAAACACAACAATAAAATCTTCCTCCTCTCTAGAAGTTATTAACTGCTGTTTCAATAGGCTGCTCTAAAATACTTTCAGCAAATCCCAGGATCTTCAGTTATTCAAAACTTAAATAGACAAGGCAACTGCTCCTTCCTTTCAGTACGTGTGTAAACTTGGAGAAAAGAGAGTAATTATATTGCTAAATTGCTTAGCAACTGTAGGTAAAAAAGCTAATATGTCATAATTTATATGTGAAAAGATTTCAGGGGGTTAGTAGCTATGTGTAGTGCTATTGAGGCTTCCCACTGAGAACTGCACTGCAAACTGGCAGCTGACTCAATACACTGCTATTTTCAACAATTCAAAAAATATAAATATGTCAGCGACTGGTCAAATAGGTTTCCATACTGGTGATTTATTGCAGTCTTTCACATTAGCGTACTACTGATTTGTATAAATCACTCCCAGGCTGAAAACAACCCCTGTGCACAGCTTTATAATGAATTCAAGTGCTGAATCAGTCTTGCTAGCTTCAGAGTGACATCAGAAGGTAATTTTGAGCAGTCTCAATTAGACAGAGATAATTTCTGTGAGCCAGATTTGCTAACGTGCACAAAGCTGAAGTAAGTACACTTTTCCAGGGAACTTTGGAAGGACAGAAGGGGGGAAAAAAATAATCTCTCTCAACAAAAGAGAAGCCAGTGAAACAGATCTGCAACTAGTATTTGTGTCCATTAACAAAGGAAAATTCATGGCTGTTGGGCAACTCATAAGGTTTGGTAGTGGGGGTGAAGGTTTCCCTAAGCAGGGTTTACTGCAACTGAGGTACCAAAGACATGAAGATCTGTGTGGGCTTTCATAGCTTCATCATCCACATGTGGCAGAGTTAGGATGGTTACACTCAGAAGCTGAAGAATATGAGTACAATCCTAAACCAGTCAACCTTCCCCATACCTGAAACACAAAGAAGGTAAACATTTGGGAAAATGCATGTGAAACTTTACCTGCAACCATTGTGACTGGTCATTGTGGCCGGAGGTCCAGGCATTAACTTTGCCTTGCTTGTCCAGTCGGGCTTTCCTGGGCTCCCAAGCAAACATGTCCATGTTGAGTGTTCGGAAAACACTGGAGGCAGTAATTTGGTAGTCCTGTATATGTCCTGATTTCATCCCCAGGGGTTCAGAGCAACCTGGAACAGTAAAATAAGATCTGTAACACTACTGACTTATCTCTGTAAGTGGTTTAGTTTTTCCATTATGGAAAAGAAAAGTAGCAATTCTCAAAGAAAAGGCTTTAATCAAGACTATTGTTGGAGGAACTTGCAAACAAACAAATGAAAAATAGCCAATTCAAGGCACTTTATTTCAACACTACCTTGGAAGAATCAAAAACAAGACAGAGAATTCAATGTATTTTATCCTGGCATAAATTTATGAAGGCAAACAGAAAAGATTACTTTTGTCTCTTCTCATCTTGGTTTTATTTTCCTGTCCAGCAGCTTGCTTTTGTTTCCCCTATTCAGTTTGATTTTATCATGCTTTTATGCCATATCACATCGACCACGTGTTTGCCTACTAAGGAAACATTAATTTTTCTTAAAGCCAGTGCTGAAGTAAAATGTCAACAAGCACTGAGCCTTCTACACTTTTGAATCACTTGATGCCTAGCCAAAAACTTAGAAAGCCCCAACACCCACTGACAGTGGAAGACTACATAAAAACAATTGTGAAGGAGGGAGAATAGTAGGAGATAATAGCTTAGGAGAAATTGAGCGTTAAAAGCTTATTTGTTTAAACCAGGTGAATGCCCCACATCATTGAGTTATTTTGATTGTAGCAAAAGATAGATCTTGGGCTTCTCCTTTCTCTGTTGGGTGTCCATGAAAAAAAAAACAAACCAACCATTAATAAGTGAATCTATGTTCCTCTGCCTTGCTATTTTACACTGGGAACACAGAAGGTACATTTGGACCTGGAAGAGAGAAGCAGCAAGCTGACAGTAGGAGAGACACCCTTCAAAAGCAGCACTGTAATAACAGCACTGGAAGCCAAGATGACCTGCATGGTTTTAAGATTAAAAACATAATGAAAACAGAGGCAGGTCAAGTGGCTGAGAGTGAGAGGGCTGCTAAGAGATCAGGAAAGGTGGATGTGTGGCTGGGTGGAGTAATGTTTGATGGGTGTTTGAGAAAAAGGTGAAAGAGGGAGATGGGAACATAAAAAGAAGCAGTTTTCTCATTTCCTTCCTGCCCCAGCTGCCAAAAACCTGCATACATGCAGTTGTCCCAAAGCTCTCAGTTCACAAATTTGGTGATCCTACTTAGTTCAGTAGCTGACTTTATGCAGCTAAATTGCAAATACTATTTTAACATACTCTAACTCATTGAGTGAGAGTGTCCCCAGGATCTGACATACCGGGTTTTGCAGGGAGTGCATCATCACTGGATGCACAGAACCTTGATGTTATGTATCATTGGGAAGACAGAGGTTTTCCACCTGACACTCACATCCCACTTCGCTGAGCTGGTTCCTATCAGGTAATCACTTCCTGAGTCACCAGCTGTGTTTCTTAAAACACGCATGTTGTGAAGGCTTTCCTGCTGGGACCATGACCCTGCTCAGCTGGTGTCTCTTGACAGAGCCAGAGCACCGTGTGCCCACTTAAAACACCTTCAAAGTTTTTATCTTGTTTTTCACTGTATTTGAGCTAGATATCAAAGCTGGTTCTCTTTTTCTTAAAGTCCATTTCCTCCACAGTATGTTTACCCAGATTTAAAGACCTGATTCTTTTTTAGTTTCTTTGATATTATTAGCAAAGACCTTTTGGTCAGATTCTACTTTCTGTTTCTCCTGTAGGTTTAACACACAAAATTAAGTGGAATTATTAGGGATTCAAATCAGGAAGGTAAGACCAGGCCCTTTGTGGGGGGTTTAACAGCAGGAGCAAATGCATATTACCAAAGACAGATAATAATAATATGCTCTTTAATGTAGTAACAACTGTATTTAAAATTTGAAATACTGACATGTTTCATATTCAATTAAAAAATAAACAGAAAACAGTTAATTTTGGAAAAAAAACCCAATCTTCAGAACTGATTCTCAGTGCACAAATGGAAATTGCACAGCCTTGTCTGTAGAATGAACTACCTAGTTCAAAACAACAAAACAATTTTCCTCGGAGTAGGAGGGAGCAATTGATAGCACAAATGAGAAAGACTCATCTATCGCTTTAGAGAAGGGCTTTGCTTGTTATTCAATTCTGAAGCATCACTCCAGGATCACAAGGGCTGTCGGCAGGAATGTTTCATCTGAGGAATCTGAAGGAGGTTCCTGACACAAAAACATGGGTTGTCAAAACTGTTTTTCAGCGCTGGTCCAATCCATCAAGAATAGTTCTATCTTTTCTGAGTATTATTATTGATTTATGAAACAACAGATGTGTCTGCTTGTGTGTCTGTGCATGCCTGCATATATTAATAGGATTTCACACTTGCCTTCCTTCTCCACTGCCCCAAAGGGAGGAGGAAGACAGTTGTTAAAGGTAACAGGAGAAAATGAGAAGAACAATGAGAATAGAAGACACGAAGATGATGCACACGGGTGGCAGAACAATGTCTTAGTGCTGTGTCACAGAGAGCAACAGCTGACCCAGTCACTTTGCAGCTCCTGTGGCACCCTGCTGCAATGACAGAAGATAATGATTGTTTATTTTGATAGGTGAGCTATAACCTAAAGCGCAAAGGACAGAATCATCAAACTAGTACAAAACTTTGTGTCTGTAGATAGTCATCCCTCCTAGAAGTGTATGTATAATAATGCTTATGACTCCCCGGGACATCTCCTCTTCACTGCACTGTATCTTCTTTAAATTTGCTTTGCAATGGCCCTGTGAAAGGATTCAATCTCCCTTCCCATTTTTACAACCTGTTAAAGCTGGTGAGAGCTGATGTAGGCATACTTATGGCTATGCTCAGTGGAGCATCTTAGGTCAAAATGTTTGAGATGCTTTGGATATCACCATCTGTGATAAATACCTGATAACTCTGTATGTTTAAACCTATCTGGATATAAGTTTGCAGTTACTTCTTATTTGGTCTAGCTCAATGAAACAGGAGCAGTGAAATAATGAGAATAAGTGTGGATTAGCATCTGAAAATTGAAAGAATCCACATGAAGGTTATTCTCTGTTGACTCTTCTGGGGCCACAATATTTTACTCTTCAGTCTCTGTCCTGTACCATGCACCTGATCTACCCCTTCTTTCAAGAAAGCTGAAACCCTCAAAGGAAATATTAAATATCCAATGCAGTGGAAGCAAAACCACAAATGGATCTGCAAGCAAAGGTCTGCATGTGTCTTGTCTTGGGCCAGAATTCATGCAGTATTGGCAAAAGCAGCATAGGTCAATTATTTGAGGGCAAGGGTGATTTTGTTTTGATTAATACTGTGATATTTTTCTTTTCTGAAAATCAAGAGATTTTAAAAATTTTCTTCCTATTAATGAACATAGGATTCCTTTCCAGACTAGGTAGTGTGGAAGATGAACAAGGGGAGGCGAATCTAGTATTAAATGCAGATGTTACAAAGTCCCCTTGTGTGTCAGTTTGTGTGAATGGTACCTATAAGTACTGTTAGGATAGAGAAATAGTTACCAGAGAACAACATGCCAAAATGAGGCAAATTACATGCTCAGAAGATGCTAGAAGTCTCACAAGGTTGGTTAAGTTCTGGAGACCAGCATCCCTCTGCAAGAACTGACAAACTCAGAACACCAAGAATTTGCTGAATTGGCACACAGCCACTAACATACACGAGCACCAACAATGCATGACATGGACCGCATGCAAGAAGGCAGAGCCTGCTATATGCAGACGTTTGAGTATGTGAGTGAATTGCATGAGTAAGTGACTGTGTTGTGTGACCAGTTATCCGTTTTTAAAAACAACCGCTTGATGCTACTATTAATAACAGCTTAACGAATAAAGGCATTCTAATAAACAGTAGCTGTGATCTGTTTCTGCCCCCACATCAATACTCTATGAAGGGAAGGGAATTTACAACACAAAGATATGCAAAACACAAGTAAGGCAGGACCACAAGGCCATGAAAATTAATGCCTAATTTATTCATGGCCAGCTCCACAAGCATTGATCATGGTTTTCAATAAGATCTGAGCACAGGTCCTGGTAAGTAAAGCTATTTATGACGCTAGAGCAGACTATATTGAACATTTTGCTGCAGTTTGTCCTAAGAAAGAATTAGTTTTTATGATAATCTGGTGCTGCGAGACAGTTTCCCTCCCTTCAGTAGTGACTCTCTTTTCTAGCACCAGGACTTGTTAGAGAAGCTAGACCTCTCAAAGTGTTTTTCTGCCTAAGACAGACCACCTGGAATTAGAGTGAATTAGTCTGTCATTATGTTCTGCTGAGCCTTGGCTGCCTGCAGTTCTAAGAAATTATGACCTTGAAACTGTTAGGAGACCACTGAAATGAATTCACTTCAGTAGCTTTCACAGTTCTTTGAGCAAAACAATTCCTGGTCATTCTGACAAGGACTTACTCTAAATTGTGGTTCCAGAAATGGAAGACATAAAAAAAAAAAATCTAATAGACTAAAGCAGCTAGACAGAATTTTCTATTTACTCTCAAACCTACCTATATTGGAAAAGGACTACAGTGAAATTAATGCATTAACTTTTCATTTCTGAAGCTGGTTTTGATGCCACTAGAGAACTGAGAATTATTTAACTCCAGCTGTTTTGATATATCATTTGTGAACTGGATGACTATTGTTCGTACAGTAAGCAGGCAGCCACATAAAAATCATTCTTAAAAGAATTCAGTGGAGCGCTCCCACTGGTAAAAGGTTGATCTCTTGAAAAAGATAAAAAATTTACATGCTTTACTGAATTTGTAAGGGAACATGGTTCTTGCAGAGAGTGGCTATAGGTCAGGCTTTACATTTATGAGCTATAACTTTTGCCACTACAAACCTTAAGAGGGTTTATATTGGCTCCACTTGTTCATTTACTTTTTGCTATGAGAAGAAATCCCTGCTTCTGCTAGAAATCCAAAAGATAAATCTAAACTGAAATCTTGACTAAAGCAGTCCAGCAAAATATATCTTATTGCACTCTGAGTGGTCCTTGGCAGCAGCTGAAGCACCCTTGTCCCTCTGAGGATGTCACACAGCACATCGGCGTGGTCACCCAGCAGCCAGGAGAAATTACTCAAATCAGCTTTGATGCCTGCTTCTGCCGTGACTCTGCTGCACAGCACTGCACAAACAGCTTCGGCTCTCAGAAACTGTTTTCGGTGCTTAGTTCAGGCTGTGCCAAGTGTAACTGTGAGTTAGAGACTCTCTGTCTCATGGTCTGCTTAGTGTGTAACATAACAGGTCCTGATAGCTGTTGATACTTATTAAAACTGCTATAAATGACCTTTTCGAGGTTGCACATAATAGGAGGCAAATGTGCACAGAAAGATTTACAAAGTGTTATTAGGTTGCTACCACATTATCCTACTACTATTACTGCCCTACTGCAAGCAACTATTGTCACTTGCATCATTTAGGTAAGTGTTGTTGCTTATATAATTTACATAAGAAGAGATAAATAACTGTCTGGATAAACTCAGCCCCGCCAACTGCATTTCACCAGGAATAAACTGCATGTGGTTTAGACCTCAGGCACAAAAATGCGCTGCTTGATGGTTGACTTCTGAGATGCGGCGATTGCAGAAAACCCACCTGACAGTTCACAGCCAAGAAGTTCCATTCTCAATGTGCAGTGTCTTCTGCACACCTGAGGATACAGCCGTACATACTGCGACTTAATTGGAGGGGTGAAGGAGTTAGCGTACGGGGTGTTGTTGTCCACATTTCCACGAAACACCTGTGATAAAATGACATATCCATAAAAATGTGCCAGGAGGATTAAGGGAGGTTCAGTGGATTTCCACATCTCAAAAGTATCTGCATTGTTCTTCTGACCCTTCCTGCACATTTCTCTGCATGTTTTTCCCAAATAAAGGCTGTTTTGTCATTTCTAGTGCCCAACATACAAGTTTTTAAGCAAAACATACTGCTATTGCCTTGCATCGGCATGCGTTTGCCACCCGCACTGAATCAGGACCTCTATCTCGTCACTCCTAGAAACCGAAGCTACTAATGCAACTAGATTATGTCTTCTTTTCTAATTAGTGTATTAGATAGTCCCAATTCAATTTAGCCTGCAATTATTTATGCTGATTGACATTTATTTTTTTCCCTCTACTTCAAGAACCTGATCCAACTCCCACTGAAGTGCACTGTAACCCTCCCATTGATCGCAGAGGGAGCTGAATTAAACCTATAAGCATTCTTCTATTCACTCCTCACTCTAAACAGATATGCTTGTACTTTGTTTTCTTCCCTCATTATATACCTCTTCACACAGCATTTTAATTTCCTAATAAAGAAACTATGTCTAATGCTGCAAAGTGCCTTAGTTCTCTCTTAACTTACAGAGTAAAGGGATTTTTGCTGCTTTGTATGCACATGTCTACAAAAAATAAGTGGTAACTATAAGCTGTAAACACATACTTCCCACTGGATGATACTGTTTGTGCAGTACAGAGATTAGCATTGATGAATGGGTTCTGTGTTTTTAAGGGTTAACACTAATCTGCCAATGTAATAAAACTAAATTGAAAACAGAGTAATGAGTAATTACTGGTAAACTAATTAAAATGAAAATCAGTTAAGTGTAATAAACAGGATTATCCTAGCCTTGGGACATAGTATTTATACAACCGTCAACTAAAGTATAAGAAATTCTTAGCAGACAAAAAGTGCAAATTTATTGATGGGGTTTTTTTCAGAGAAAAATAATAACAAGGCAACCTATATTACACTGTCAGGCAATTATGCTTATCTACTAGACATATCTCATACTTCTGAAGGCAGCTAAACCATACAGATGTATTCATATACAGATGACTTAATCTTACCATATCTTCATTTGTGCCTTTAACTTTATACATTGTCCACGACTTCCCATCATTACTGTATGCAATTTTGTACGATTTTACATATTCCGGACTTCCAATCCTCTTGGCACCTTGAGTTATAACTCCGGTGACTCGCATCTTCTTCTGCAGGTTTATCTGAAATAACAGTACAATGTTATCACTAACCATCTGAGGGACACAATTCTGATTCTAGATTCCTTTGATTATTTTTCCTTTTTTTTTTAGTGACAGAAAGGAAAAAAACATAGCTGGAACATTTAAATTACTATCTTTACTCTTGCATTAATTCCTTTTGTCTTTCATTCATTTCATGTACATATGCACATAAATAAATGAAAAAAATTGAACCAAAAGCCTATACTATGCTTATGTCTTCATGTGTATGTGTACACACACACACACATATATATTATTGATATACAGGATACTACTGGTGTATTGCTGGGATACAGCATATTACTGGTATATAAGATTACTGCTATATATTTCCTTCCTAAAAAGGAAATGCAATAGTGTAATAATTTACCAAAGGTTGAATCTTCTGTTCTATTAGAAGCCAATTTGCAATCCCATGCAAAAAAGCCTCAGTTAACTTCAGGTCAAATTTCTTTGTGAAAGAAATGGATGTTCTGTAAAGCAAACAAATAGAACTTTCCTTGATTCTCATTGAAAATTCATATATTTAAAGATCATGGTTGAAATGCTAATCCCAAAACAGTCAATAGGAAAATATCAGTGGCTATCAACAGATATGAACATTCCCTCTACTTGTCTGAGTTGACCTCAACACTTTGAAGTACAAAATTAAGTTGTACAGAGAGTTCAACTCTTTTCAGACCACCTTAATTTTGCCTTCTTTATCCACCTATGGTATGGGAAAGGCAACTATATTCTCACAAAATTCAGAATGTGATATTCAAATCAAACAATGCTGGTATCATCAGTCTCGTCCCTGCAGTGAAGTCAATCATGAAGCAATCTGGCAATTGCACTCCCACCCTCTCGCTGGTAGGCAGCTGAAGTCTGTAACTTTTGCACCAAATGAAGCTTAACAAAGAGCTGTCATACTGTGAGGATCGCGTGAAGGTGCAGGCAGATGTGTGATAAAAGGAGACGAATGGAAATACTAGAGAGTAAACAACTGGGACAATGTAAATAATACATTAAACTACATTAGCACTTGTCTCCTCCGTATGAATCTTATCTCTGCTCCCCAGTTAGTGGAGCTGACCCGGTGCACTCCTTACTATTTGGGATAGCAGCCCCAGTACAGGAATATGGGGAGTCAGAGACAGATCGGGTATCTGCTGTCCAAATACTTTCTTCCCTTTATTCTTTACAGTGTGGTCTCAATATTTGCTTTCACTTGGTAATGTAAACTAGCCTCTATTAAGGATGTAAGATGATCAAATGTCAGTGTTTCAATATCTTACTGAGTACACAATGGGAAAGTGAAGAAAGACAGAATCTTACTGCTGTTTTTTTTGAGGGAGTCTAGCTATTTCTCTGCTACTTATCTGAAATAGTTTGGCTTCTGATATTTTTCTTCTTGAGGCAAAAGGAATTTCAGTGTAGTTTTACCATAGTTCTCCCTATAAGAAATTAATAAATACGCCTACACCTTTAGAATAACAATGGGTACTTTAGAGGCTTAGACCCATTGAGAGAGGAGAAGCTGCCTATAAAAGATCAGATTTCTTACAGGATCTTTCTCACATATGCCAGGAAAACTCAGGAACATTTGCAATTGCGATGGGGACAATGGACTCACACCAGGAATTTAGACAGGTATAAATTAGAAGAGATTCAGGCCTTTTTATAGTCTTGGGAAAACTTATTTCCCCCCATTCCAGGTTTCCCAGAGAAAAAAAAAAAAGACATTATATTTGTAAGAGGACAACTCCAGAGATTACTATCAGCCCCCTAACTACATTTACAAATGCAGTTAACATAGAATAGTAAGCAGTTAGACAGAAAGGTTTCTGGAAGTCTCTTACGCAGATTTCACTCTCTAGATGGAATTAAAGCATATTAATAAACAGACAAATAAAACAATTTTTCATATATTTACAAAATTGTTAATAATTAAGTGAACACCATCTTCAAAAGAAAATTAGATAGCAGAGTCAAAGAGAAACCAGGCATTGATTAGTTGCCATTTGCATATACTCACTAGTAGTATCTTCACAGTTCACTGCTTGGGAAAAAGAAGATGTAATGCAACACCAAATAATTTTTCTTTCATCCAGTTACGCATACACCTAATATTCTTTCAGCTTCATTCCCATGTTTTCTTTTTCCAGATAATAAACTCAGGGAGTTTTTTTGGATGAGAATTTATGCGAAAATTTTTCTTCCCTGTTTACTTGGAAAGAGTAGTTTCTAATGAAACCATGGCTTTAACCACTGGATGTTATCTTCCCACACTGGCTTCTTTCCATGCTAAAGCCTCCATCTCTAATGCACAACAAATCAACCACTGCACTTCAAGAAGCAAAACAATAGCAAAAAACCCATCCAAAAGGAATCTGCCAAAGAGTTTAATACTATGGTTGAAAGTCAAACTTCAAAAAAGAGAAGTCTTACTGAATGAAGGGAAGAATTGGTCAGATAATCATAAAAATGAAACAAGAATAATTTAATTTTTAAATACTCATTTAGCATACATACTGTTTAACCTGTGTTCTTTGAGTTTCAGGAGGTAAAAAGCCTACCTTTTTTCTGCTATATACCAGCCTGCTCTATACCCTTATCTGTGTATCTGTACGTATAAGCTGTACAATTTTATTTACTTCTGTTTTAACAGACAGAATCTTTCCTGTTAGAGGCTTTCTTGATCAGTATCCATACTCTTGAGTCACAAACTGAGCTTTGGCTTTAGGCAATGTTGAGCTTGATATAACACTGGAAATAAAAACAGGATGCTGTGTTTTGCAATTAGGTCTATATATTCTGTCAATGTTTGCAAGGAAATCCCAGTGAAAAGGGAACAAAAAAGCTTTAAAATCCCCGCAGCTTTCTTACATACAAAATCCCCATGGGGCTAACGTCACGCCTGTGGCAGCTCCTTTCAGTGCATATGGATACACCAGGAATTAATTGGCCCTTTGTGTCTGTGTTCTTTTATGTGTTTTAAATTTTTCAAGTCAGGGCTTAGCAAAACCCAAAATATTACAACTGTGCAATGAATATAATGAAGCAGGTGTTGAAATCTTTCTTACTTAATATAGTTCAGTAGGAAGCAAAGTTCCCCACATGAAATGTGAACTAGTTCTTTTAGCACTAAAAGCATTTTCAAAGGTATTTTTCTGCAGCAATTGTGAAGAAAAACAGCTTAGGAAGCTCTGCTTTGTGGATTCAGATCTAGGACAGATGTTATATATTCTAATTACATGCGTGACTGTTTTAAAACAAAGAGGTGAAAGTCACTAGGATAAGTACAAGAGTTTAACACACCTCTTTAAAAAAGGTAAGAGCTTATTCAGTTATAAAAGACCCCTTATCATTACCTAGATTAAGTGGAAAAAATCAAGGATGATAGAAGATCAATAGTATTTTGGGGGATTTACCCCAGTAATTTAAGTATTAATGCATGGTAAAGACCTTGTGAGAAGATACCTGCATAGAAATTTGACAAAACTACTTACTGCAAAAAAATGAGACTGATCAGTTCTACCAGCCCTAGTTAAATTTAAGGTTATTTTGAGAGTAATGGATTCAGACTTGATACTCGGCCCCTGTCCATGGACCTGCGTTCAGCCACAGCTCAGAGGGGGCTCCTGGGTCCAGCAACTTCCATGGGACCTAATTCACCCAACATACGTCAGGGATTTGGCTGCAATGTTCACAAGCAGATCCAAGGATGCCCGTTGCCCTCCATCCTCATGGCATGAAGCTTTTTATGAAACTTGGGTAAGGTGCTGTTTAACACCTACAGGTAATGGAATCTGCCTCAAACAGGTTTTGCGTTTCAATGAGGAAGTTTTCTGGTGCTAGAATAAATGATGAACACTGAATCACTCAGGTAAAACTGCGTGTAAAAGAAAGCCAGTAGTCTGACATCAATTCATTTAAATCTGACGCTACAAGAAACAGATTAAGTCTACACAATATGTGGTGGATGATGCAGTCACCGAGCTGATATTGTGAAAAGCTTAGCTAGAGCACAGGCATGGCAGTTAACTCGAGTTAATAGACAGTGCTGAGGGACAAGATACAATACCTTGGAGTCAGTGCTGTATACACTGTCGAAGGCTGAATTCATGTACTGCCAGTCACTCGGTGCCTTCTATACTATGTCATATAGCCAAAACTAAGAAAAACGAAAATCACTTGAGGCATACTCCCTTGAGGGCAGTGTATGCCCAAGAGCTGGGGAATGAAATCTACTCTAGCAGTTTAAAAAGTTCCCAGCAGTCCTTGAAATTTCTTTTAACCTTGTTCCTTTCAACCACCACAATCATCCTGACTCCATGATTAGACCACTTTTATCATCACAGCAGGTTATAGAGTCATGGCCTCTTTCAACAGGAGGGGAAAAAGTAACCAGCATGCCGTGTTTCCTGCTCTCAGGACTGATTCTGTAGGAGTAATATCTATTAAACAATTTTCACTGGTGTACTAATGTTTTTGACTGCAGTGACTCACACAAATCTGTTTTAGGGTGCTAAATCATTCAGTTGTCAACACTGATGAAGACATAGCCAATCATGATTTTACTGGAACTTGAAAAAATCTATATCAGAAAGGAAATAAAACAAATTAAAAAGAGTATCTACCCAAGAGAAAGCGGCAATATGAACAAAGTAATTTTACAAGTTCCTGTAGCTTGCGCAGTGCATCATTTTCAAAGGCAATTCAGAACCAGTCCTGCAAATCTGCATGGTGTGTGTGCAGTGAAGCTGCACACAGTGAAGTAAATGTAGGACCATAGCACAGGAGGGAACTGCTTCATGCTTGTTTTCCATAAACAGTCCAAAGGTCTCCACAAAACAAAGACCAAAAATAACTTCCCAGAATGCTTAACAAACCTTAGAATTGTAGAAAAAACTCTAAATTCACAGTCATAATATGTCAATGTAACAGGGCAGCAGAGATTAGGGACAGCGCCAGTGGAAGAAGTTCATATTCCTCTT